AGTTGTCTAGAAGAGGACCTGATTTAGCTCATGTACCAGCTGACTCCCCAGTTATGAATTAATAAACTGCTATTGGTTGATGTGTTCTCTTGAGCACTTGGTTAATGTGAGCTCTTCTCCTGGACACTGGCAATATTGAGTTACTGGCCCAGAGCTTGGACTCGTGTCCTGACCAATGCCTGCCAACCCTCTCCTGACACCATCCTAACGGTACTGGTGATGCATACGAGCTTCACAAACACTGAGAATCACTTAGACCAGTAAATGAAGTAATGATGTTTGTTTTAGAATAGGGTTTCTCAACCTTGATACATTCACATTTGGACCAGATAGTTCTTTGTTGTGAGGGGCTATCCTGTGTGCTGTAGGACGTTTAGCATATCCTTCCCGCCTACCCACTAGATGCCAGTATTAACCCCCACTGCAATTTTGACAACCAAAAATGTTACCACACATAGCCAAATGTCCCCTGTGGGAGGCAAACTGCCCAAACTTGAGAATCACTGATTCTAGGAGCTAGCCAGTGGTAAGGGACTTCCTTGAGGAACAGACCACAAAATTGTACTTGGGGCTGGATGAATGCTTCATGCCCCTTACCTTTATATTGGTAGGTGTATTGATCAGGGTTCTCCAGAGAAACAGAAGCAGTAGGATATATATATCCTATCACAAGGATATATATATGTGATTGTGGAGGCTGAGAAGTCCCAGGATCTGCCATCTGCAAGCTGAAGACCCAGGAGAGCCTGTGGTATCGTTCAGTTCGAGTCTGAAGGCCCGAGAATGAGGGGAGCCAATGGTGACAGTCCAAATTGAGGCTGGAGAAGATGAGATGAGATGTCTTAACTCAAGCAGTAAGACAGGAAAAAGGGGGGCAGAATCCTCCTCCCTCCACCTCATCTGGAAACACCTTCAGACACACCCAGAAATAATGTTTAATCTGGGCACCCCATGGCCTGTCAGATTGATTCATAAAATTAATCATCACAGTAGGAGTTGCAGAAAGGTTTTAATGATAGGGCAAATCACCAGTGGGAGGTGTCCAGAGCTACTTGGACTGTTCCATCCCCATTAAGGGAGAGTCAGGGAGAAGGGTTTGGTTTAGAGTTTGGCTCTGGGGTTCATCACTTTTCTAACTTCTGCAGACCATGTCTCATTGGCAGCTGTCCTGAGCAGAATCTCCTCTGCCTAGCCCTGCCCTCTGTCTCGGTGTCCTCACTAAGGTGCCCCATAACCACCCGGAGAACTTCCTGTGTGGCAGGGCCAGTGAGGACTCGCCCTCACACCCTAGGTCAGATTTATAAAGGAGGCACTAAGTGCCTCCTGGGCTTGTGCTGTTAAAGTATCTTAGTGCTCAGGCTGAAGGGGATCACAGAGGTCAGGTAGAGCACTTTGTTAACTCTACTGTGCATTTTATAAAATGGGAGTTAGATTCCAAAGGTCTTGGATGGTGTCCAAGATTATGTAGATCCAACAAGCTCCCAAGTGATGTCAATGCTGCTGGTCCTCGAACCATAATTTAAGTAGTAAGACTTTAGACAAGAGGTCTGCAAACTATGGCTCATGGACCAAATTGGATCTACCACCTATGTAGCAAATAAAGTTCTGTTGGAACACAGCTACACTTGTTCATTTACATATTGTCTGTGGTGGCTTTCGTATCACAGTGGCCAAGTTGAGTAGTTGAGACAGAGACTCCATGGCCCCTGAAGCCTGAAATAGTTACTCCTTGACCCCTGCTAGAGGCTGACTTGTGCCACGTGGACGGACCATGGAGGATCTTCCTGGTCGCTCCTTTGGGTGGGCCATCCAGAGGTTGTCTTTCCTTACCTTTGGCCTGTCTTTTTCATCCCTCTTCTTACTTCTAGCTCCTGCAACCCTCTCCATTAGTGCCTGGGGCATGGGGAGACTCGTAGGAAGAATTTCTGTGCCACAGTAAAGCTTCCATCTTGAATGTGAACCTCTCATTGTCCTGACAAAGTGTTCTGCCTGGCACCCAGTCAGAGCCAGTCAGCCCTGGTATCCTTTGGTCTTCTAGGTGGCTCACCTTCAGACCTGTTTAGAAACACCCTCAGAGACTTATGCATAAAAACTCATGCCTGAATGCTCTATTTGTTTCTCAGCCAGCCAGAATTTACTAAGAACCTTCTTTCATCAGGTACCATGCTAAATTTTCGGAACAAGGATACATCAGATGCCTTTTCAGTCTAGAAGAAAACCTGTAAACTGACCATTCCAATTACAATATTGTGGGTGCAATATTAGAAGAATATCTGGATACTTTGATAGCCAAAGAAAAGGGTCTGAGTGATGTGGAGCTTCGTTGCAGTGGACCTTTCCTTTTTTTTCCCCTCAATCATGAATTTTTATCAAATTTTACACAAACACATTTTTGTATCTAATGGTGTGATATGCTTTTCCTCTTAGGTTCTAAATGTGATAGATTACAATTATTTACTACCCAATTTTAAAAGTGAAATAACATTTTTTACTTATAATTAAGCTACATTTATAGTGTGATATAAATTGGAATTTTATTGACTTCAATTTTAATATCAGTATAAAATAATTCTACTGCCATTCCTGTTAACTTAAAACCAAAATTTGTTTGCAGGATTCTCTAAAAGGAGTAACACTTTCAAAATTCACTGTTGTACCTCATTAGCACCTTAATTTTATTATTATTTTAAAATTGTGCTAAAATACATATAACACAAATTTACCAGCTTAACCATTTTAAACTTACAGTTCAGTGGCATTAAGTGAATTTACACTGTTGTGCAACCATCCATTTCCAGAATACTTTTCATCTTGCAAAACTGAAACTTTGTACCCTGTACCCACTAAACAATAACTTCCAATTCCTCCCTTCCCCAGCCACTGACAATCGCCATTCTACTCTGTCTCTATGAATATGACTACTCTAGGTATTTCATATACGTGGAATCATACAGTGTGTCGATTCATTACAGTTCTTTTGTGACTGGCTTACTTCATTTAGCATAATATCCTTAAGGTTCGTCTATGTTGTAGCATGTGTCACAGATTCCTTCCTTTTAAGTCTGTAATACTCCATTGTGTGTGTGTGTGTGTGTGTGTATCACGTTTTGTTTATCCATTCATCTGTGGATGGATACGTCAATTGCTTCTACCATTAGGCTACTGTGAATAATGCTTCATAATAATTGGTGTACAAATATCTGTTTGAGTCCCTGCTTTCCATTCTTTTGAATAGGTACCCAGATATAGAATTGCTTAATCTTATAGTAATTCAAGTTTTTATTTTTTGAGGAATTGCCACCCTGTTTTCCATAGTGCCTCGACAATATTACTTTCCCATCAACAATATGAGGGTTTTAATTTCTCTCAATCCTCTCTGAAACTTGTTATTTATTTCTTTCTCTTTCTTTCTTTTTTTCTCTTTCTTCTTTCTCTCTCTTTCTTTTCTTTTCTTTCTTTCTTTCTTTCTTTCTTTCTTTCTTTCTTTCTTTCTTTTTCTTCTTTCCCTCTCTCTCCCTCCCTCCCTTCCTTCCCCTTCCTTCCTTCCTTCCATTTTTTTATACTAGCCATCTGAATGGGTGTGAGGAGGTATCTCGTTGTGGTTTTGATTTGCAGTTCCTTAGTGATTGGTAATGTTGAACATCTTTTCATAAGCTTATTGATCATTTGCATATCATCTTTGGAGAAAGGCCTGTTCAGGTCCATTGCCTATTTTTTTTAATCAGGTTGTTTGTTTTTGTTGTTGTTGAGTTTCTAGGAGCTCTTTATATAATCTGGATATTAACCCCCAATCAGATAATATGATTTGCAAATATTTTCTTCCATTTTGTGGGTTGCCTTTTCACTTTGTTGATTGTGTCCTTTGATGAACAGAAGTTTTAAGTTTTGATGTTTATTTTAACTTTTGTCCAGTTTATTTTAACTTTTGTCACCTGTTCTTTTAGTGTCATATTTAAGAAATCATTGTCAAATCCAATGTCATAAAGCTTTTCTCCTGTTTTTTCTTCTAAGAGTTTTATAATTTTAGCTCTTGCATTTAGGTCTTTGACCCATTTCTAGTTAAATTTTAATATGGTATAAGGTAAGGGTTCAACTTCATTCTTTTGCATGTGGATACTCAGTTTTCTCAACACCATTTGTTGAAAAGACTGTTCTTTCCTCATTGAATGGTCTTGGCACCCTTGTTGAAAATCATTTGACAAGGGGTAAGGGCTTATTTCTAAGCTCTCTGGTCTATTTCATTGGTCCATATGCCTGTCTTTATGCCAGTGCCACACTGTTTTGCTTACAAATTTATTGCTTTGTAATAAATTGTAATAAATTTTGAAATCAAAGTGTGAGACTTCCAGCTTAGTTCTTTTTCTTTTCTTTTTTTTTTTTTTAAGATTTTATTTATTTGCACGAGAGAGAATGAGAGACAGAGAGCATGAGAGGGAGGAGGGTCAGAGGGAGAAGCAGACTCCCTGCCGAGCAGGGAGCCCGATGCGGGACTCTATCCAGGGACTCCAGGATCATGACCTGAGCCGAAGGCAGTCGCTTAACCAACTGAGCCACCCAGGCGCCCCAACTTAGTTCTTTTTCAAGATTCTTTTGGATATTTGAGATTCCTTGAGATTCTGTATGAACTTTAGTATGGATTTTTCTATTTCTGAAAAAAAAAGTCATTGGGGTTTTGAGATTGCTATAGGATTTTTGAATCTCTTTTAAAGGAAACATTTGCCAGACTGATAAGGGGAGGAGGGGGCATTTTAGGCAAAAGGAAAAGCATGATCGAATACATGAAAAGATAAAAGAGGGCGCCCGGGTGGCTCAGCCAGTTAAGCGTCTGCCTTCGGCTCAGGTCATGATCTCAGGGTCCTGGGATCGAGCCCCGCATCAGGCTCCCTGCTCCACAGGAAGCCTGCTTCTCCCTCTCCCACTCCCCCTGCTAGTGTTCCCTCTCTCGCTGTGTCTCTCTCTGTCAAATAAATAAATAAATAAATCTTTAAAAAAAAAAAAGATAAAAGAACTTGGTGTGTTTGGGTAACTAAAAGTAAGCTGGTAATGTTGGAGCATTAGGCATGCCTACATTTCTGTGTGTACGTGTATGGATATAGACTCAAGTAGGAGATGAATTAGGAGCTAAGGTAGGGGTCAGATATTATGGAAGTGGCTGTGTATTGTATTAAGAAGTGTAATGGGGATACCTCTTCATCTAGCTTGAAACACGGGCGCCACCAAGATGCCGGCTTACCACTCTTTTCTCATGGACCCTGACACCAAACACATTGGAAACATGGCACTGTTGCCTATCAGAAGTCAATTCAAAGGACCTGCCCCTAGGGACTTGGGATCTCAGTGTTAAGCAGCTCAGCCTCTGGGTTGGGCTTTCTTTCCTTGCTGTGGTTTTCCCTGAGCCCATTGGAATCTACCAGAAAATGAGCTGTCTTCTTTGTTGTGACCCAGTCTCTCCACCTGCAGAATTGCAGCTCCCCAGGCCCTTTTGTGTGGTCCATGTTATTGAGACCATGACCCCCCTGAGAACCTGTTTCTTCTCCAAGGACTGGAGGCTTCTGCTTCTTTAGCATTCCCCAACCTGACATCCCTCCATTCATTGTGACTCAGTTCCCCATCCTCAGCTTAGGGCAGCATTGAATAGGAGTTGTCAGGGTCTTTGCCACTTTTTCATCCCTTCATCTCAGCGAGAGCATCTCTGAGTGAACTGGGTAATGATAATGCCAGGTCTGGGCCGCCGCAGCAGCAGCTGGGGAGAGGATGTGCTCCATCAGCCAGAGGCTGAGCTGCTTAACACTGAGATCCCAAGTCCCTATTCTGAACCCCGGTGGGACGGTTCTGCTGGTGGGCAGGCTGTGGCAGTGTGTGTGTGTGTCTGTGTGTGTGTGTGTATGTATATGTGTGTATGTGGTTGGCCCATCATGGTCACAGGTAAAGTCATGAAACTGGGGGCAGAGAGTGGGCTCAAGCTCCCAAGTTCTTGTGGGCATTTAAGAACTGGAACCACTTCGGTATATCTGGGACAGCCAGCTCTGACCCTTTACCAAAGACACACGATTGGTGACCTGTAGGATGAGGCAAACTGATCAAAGTACAGCAATACTGTCAATGCTGGAGAAAGCAGAGCCAGGCAAAGAGGAGAGGTTACAGTGAGTGACCGAAGTGCTGATGGGCTATGCCTCCACGGTGAGCCAGACAGAATGCAATAAAAAGTTCCAAGGAAGGTGAGGGGAAAGTGTTAAAAGGGAACTGGGGAGGAGATGGGGAAGAGAAAGGAGAAAGTCCAGGAAAACCAGAAATGGAAGGAGTTGCTGCTTCCTTGAAAGTCAAGAAGCTAGCTAGAACAAAGGGCACAAGACCCCAGATCCCTGGCTGGGAAGGCTGGCTGGTTCTTTGTTCTTCAGTCCAGTCTACCTGGAACACGGCCTCAGGAAAGCAGAATGTGTTCTCATCACTCACTTTGTGTTCCCAGACAGAAGAGAAGAGAGGGAGGTGCTGCCTTGGTCCAGCTCAAGCATTTCCAAGAGGCTTCCTCTGGATGCGACGTCGAGGCCGCCCTTCTGCCGTAGCACAGACCTGGTGATTACCGAGTGCGTGAACATGGCTTTGCTCAGCAACATCCTAGCGGCCTATTCCTTTGTCTCAGGTAGTTGTCCAGTCTTGGCTGGGCCAGGGCTGAGGGCTGAGGCTATCCCCTGGGTGGCCATCAGTGGCCTTATTCTCAGGAGAGAAATGCTACATAGTTGTAGCAGAGGGATTCTGCTGCGCTGAATTTTGAGATGAAAGATCTTCTGGTTTGAAAGTTAAGCTTGGCATTCTCTAATTTGGTAATCAGTGGTGGTGGTGGGGGGGACTCTAAAAGCTTTATCTTGCTAAAAATGTTTGGTTTCCTTTGAGCTCCAGCGAGTGAATGAAGTAGCCTGGGGCTACTGTCTTCCCGTCATTATGCATTTGACTCCCTGTGGGAGGAGCTCTTGGAGTATCCTCAGCCTGCTCATTTCTATGCAGTGGTTCTCAGTCCCGCCCAGGTGTGTGTGTGTGTGTGTGTGTGGTCTGTGTTTGTGGGGCTGTATGAGGTGTGTGATAACCTCCTGGGAGACATGAAGACACAAAGCATGTGAGTCTGAGAGAGCCTGATATTTGTCCCTTCCTTAATTCAAAGTTATACTCTTAGGAAGATGGCTTACTGTTCCTCAAGATCCTTTCTTGAGAATAGATGCTGTTCTTGTAAGAGGAGCCATTTAAAAATACATGAAAATATGCCTCAATCAAGCTGAAATTAAAAAAATACATGAAAATGCTCAATGGTTTCAATGACCAAACCAATTTTCTGCTGCTTGAATGAGCTTTACATTTTTTTTTTGATAGTTTGCTTTCACTATGTTTTGTTTTGCCTGTTGTCTCAGGATGTTGTATAAAAAGGAAGGGGCTGAGGTTCTGATTAGAATTCCTCTAATCAGAGGACTGATTTTGCTTTCTGGTTCTCTAGCCAGGGTTGATATGTGGTGACCTCAGAGTTCAGATATAAAACCCGATATTTCTATTTACAATGGCAAATCTGAGCCAGGGTTGAGGATAAAGGAAGCCCCTGGCTTCTCTTTGAGAGAGGATCTCAGATGATATGCAACCCGATTTTAGAAAGGAGGACTTCTCAGGGGCGGCAAGATGCAGCATGTAGTCTACACAGGCCTCAAGGCCAGGGTTCTCCCTTTCTGGGTCAGCAAAGGCCTGGGTCATCGGTCAGCTCCTCACCACCCTAGGAAGTCTGGTGCCTGGGGCCTCCTTCCCCCTGGCACCACACATCAGAGGAATCTCAGTTTTGCTCTTTCTTCAAGGCCATACTGGTATTATGTTTCATAAACAATTGAATGATGATGCTCTCAACTCTCTAGTGAAGACATCCCCAAAATGAAGTGGGTGGTGGCAGGGAGGGCCTGGAGTTTCCAAGGCCTCCAAGGACACTTGCAAATCAACTGTTGCAAGAACATATCTTGGGTGAGAGCATACAGGCTCCTGGGCTTTGGAGTTCTGCTTGACACAGGAAGTACCTGGCAGTTTTCCATTTCAGCCAGCATGACCCTGAGTTGTGACCATTGAACGTGGTAATTCATTGAATGGTCTGGTGTTTACCGTGTGTCTTGTGATCTTGCTAGGGCTGATAGATTGCATCCCCGCTCCAGCCTTTCTCCTCCTCACCCCATATTCTGGAATTAAATATTGGTTGGGACACAGGAAGATAATGCTCCTTTTGAATAAATATGGACTGAAATAAAGAGAATGCAAGGAAATGGAAAGTAAAGTGGCTCAAATAAAATGGGTCAGATCCAGTAAATAGACTTGCTGGCTGAAAATGAATTCTGAGTGTGATGGGCAACAATCCCTGGCTGTAAAGAAAATGAGTTAAGAGAATTTAAAATATGAAAGTGAATATAACAGATACAAAATAATTGTTTTAAAAGGAGAAAATAGAACAAATGGGTTGAAGGCAATAATAAAAAGTATGTTCAAAGAAAATTGTAAAAAATGTCCTAATCTTGTAGCTCGCTTAGGTTCTCACTCAGCTGTATGTGGTCTTCAGCTACACAGGGGCCCCTGATCCCTCCTAATTTCTTCCGGAGCATCAGTTGCCTCTTATTTCGTCCATGTGGTCCATCATTGCAGCAACATATTTGCTAATGCACACAACTCCCTTCTTCTTTGTCTAGCTCCTGATTAAAACAACAGGCAAAACACTAACTCTAAGTAAATCCCTCTTTCTCCCCTTTTGCCCTCTGCCTGAAATAACCAAATGCTGCTACAGCTTTGCAGATTGAAACCATTAGAAATTCATGGTATCAAACCTCAGCTGAGCCTTTCAAGTAGTACTTCAGTCTCTATTTGCTTTTGGAAACATCTTGTTCTCATTCTTCACAATAGCCATTTTAAACCTTGACAATTCGAATAATTTTATTTTTTAAAGATTTTATTTATTTATTTGACAGAGAGAGACACAGCGAGAGAGGGAACACGAGCAGGCGGAGTGGGAGAGGGAGAAGCAGGCTTCCCACTGAGCAGGGAGCCCAATGCAGGGCTCAATCCCAGGACCCTGGGATCATGACCTGAGCCGAAGGCAGAAGCTTAACGATTGAGCCACCCAGGTGCCCCGACAATTCGAATAATTTTAAATACCTGTTTATCTAAATGTACCCTAAAATTAAATGGCAAATGCAAACTAAGAGAAAAATGCAGCATTAATGAAGAAGGGTTAAAGTTTATAACATATAAAGAGCTTTTACCAATCAATAAAAGATCAGATTTCCCAAAGAATAGTAGACAAAAAACAAGAATCAGCGGTTTGCCAAGGAAAAATTACAAATCGCTGATAAAACATACATGGCCTGAGTTCTAGCAATTAAACAAATGCCAAATAAAAACAACAATGAGGTTAACATTTTTATTTTATAAAATTCTCAAAGATTTGAGTGATTGTGTATATAATTTCAGTTTTGGAGAAAGTGTGGAGAAATGAGTACTCACACACAGTGTTATGGGATTGTAAATTGCTACAACCTCTCTAGAGAGTGATTTGGGAATATCTGTCAAAAGCCTTAAAAACATGTATACCATTTAGCCGGAAGTTCCACATTTAGGAATGTATCCTAAGGAAATAACTAGGGATATGGGCAAAAATTTTACTATGAGGACAATTGATCTCAGAACTGTTTATATAGTAAAAAATCAGAAAAATGGGTGAATATTAATTGAAATAGAAAAATGTTTATGATGTGTTTTTAAGCGAATAAAGCCTGTTACCATATAGCATATGCAGTATGGGGCCATTTATGTTTGTATATTCACATGTATATGTAAGTACATTTTATTGCAAATTATATCTGGATGCTGGGATTTTATGAGTGTGTCTGTGTATTTTTAAATTTCTTTTGCTTAGCTGTATGTTTAGGTATTCTATACTTCATTGATACCACTTTTGTAATAAGTAATGTTATTTTATTGGAATTTAAAATTTAGGATTAGGGCACCTAGATGCCTCAGTTGGGTAAGCATCTGCCTTCGGTTCAGGCCATGATCTCAGGGTCCTGGATCGTTGGGAATCCCTGCTCAGCAGGGAGTCTGCTTCTCCCTCTCCTCTCTGCCCCTCCCCCCTGCTTGTGCTCACTCACTTTCTCAAATAAATAAATACAATCTTAAAAAAAATTTAGAATTATATCATCCATATATTTTAAAAATTACCACTTCCTTATTCTTTTCTGACTTCTAGACCTGTGTATCTAAGTGCCCTGAACATTACAATTTGGTGTGCCATAAACATTTCAAATTCAACCTGGCTTGCATGGAATATTGTCCTTCTCTGTCAGTTGTTCTTTCTTTTATGTACCATGTAGGGCATCACCTATGCCAGAAGATGTATCTTACTCACTGCACATATCCAGTTGCTTAGGGTCAGTCCATTTTGCCTCTCAGTGTTTCTCAGATGTGTCCCCTCCATTTTATTCCCACCATCAATGAATTAATTGATCCAAGCCCCATTCTGTTTTTGCTTATCTTGCATAACAGCATTTTCCATGGTCTATCTGCCTCCCATCTTGCTTCATAGCAAAGATTGTATTTTGTAGCAAAATGATCTTTCCAAACTAGGTCTGATGATGTAATTCTTTTTTATTTTTTAGAACACTTTAGTGGATCCTCATTATCTCTGGGATGAAATCCAAACACTTTTGTATGGTTTATAGTTAGGATTGCTTTCAGCTGCAAATAATAGAAAGCCTCAACTTGGTGGCCTAAACACATAGGAGGTATCTTACCTTCATAACAAGAAGTCTGGAGGAAGGTGGTGCAGTGGCTCAAAGATGTAGGGACCACCATCTCTGTGATTCTCATGTCCTTTCTTTTATGCTTGTCATCTCATGGCTGCAAAGTGGTTGCTGTTGCTCTTGCCTTCATTCAAGATGGTTGAAAAAGGAAGGACGATCCAGTAGATGTCATGTTTCATTGGCCAGAACTGTGTTACCTGACCATCTAGCTGAAAAAAATGACACAGCTTTTTCAACCTTTAGACTAGTGGTTCATAACCAGGGATGATTTTGCCCTATGGGGGACTGCAGGAGATATCTAGAAACACTTTTGGTTGTCACAACTGGGGTGGGGGGTGCTGCTATTGGCATCTAGCAGTGGAGAAACATCCTACAATGCACAAGACAACCCCCTACAACAAAGAATTAACTGGTCCAAGAGGTCAACAGTGCTGAGTTTGGAAAACATGCTGTAGAGGCAAGCAAGGGAGAAGAGATTTGGGGATAGGGTGAGTTCTCCAATCTGCAGTTTCTTATGTGGTTTCTCAGGGCTTTTAGTGTCTGAACTTGACTTCTCGGTGCTCTTGTTTAGTTGTAGAGCTCCCTGATCAAGATCTCATTCCAATTATTCTAAACCACTTCCTGCACCTTTCTCACCTCTGCTTTTTTGCAGTCATTTCCTTTTCCAAGAATTCTTCCCTTCGGTCCTGGACTGGCTAACTTCCTCGCAGTCTTCAGGTTCTACCATCCTCTCTCCTCACTCTCCCACCCTGGCTTAGGTGCCTGCCCATCCATGTACTCCTCCACACACGTTTTGTTTCCCTGTATCTCAGTACTGGGATTGGAGCAGTTAACATTTCTTGTTTCAACTCTGTGCAAGCAACCCCTTGGGATCATAATATAATAATTTATGATGAAGGTAATCATCTCATTAATAGTAATAACCTCATAAGTAACTTCTAATAGGGTCGTTAGAAAGATTAAATGGAATGATTGCTCTTTAATTTAATGTTTTGAATTGATAATACATTCTCCTGATCACTCTTCCATTTCCTTTCATTTCTTCCTTAAAAGTCACCTTCTCGGTTAGATTCCCTCTAGTCACTCCACCTGCCTGCTCCCCTCCAGCACACATCTGACACTTCATATCCTCCTTCCTATTTTTACTGTTTTCTTCTCCTTATCACCTCATTGCCATCTAACATACAACCTGTTTTATTTGTTTATCTTGTTTATTTACTATCTCTCCCAGTAGGATATAAGCTCCCAGGAACACTGAGATTTTTGTTTCTTTCCTCAGCCTCTAGAATAGTGTCTGGCACTATTCTAGAGGCACTGGCAATAGGTGCTCAACTAATCAGTGAATAAACATGGCTAAATGATCAAATGATATAAAAAGATATATAGTGAGAAGTCTTAGCTCAGAGCTGCCCCCTCCATCCAGTCCCTACGTTTGAGCCATCATCAGTCCTTTCTGCATCCTTCCAGAGTTCTTTGTGCACAGGTAAGAAAAGATGAACATCCAGTCTCATCCTCGCCCCTTTTAAACACAGGTAGCATATCATACATACTCTTGTGTACTTTGCTTTCTTCACCAAAAACGTTATCATGAAGATATGTTATATCAGCGTATAGAGAGCTTCCTCCTTTTAGATGACTATATACTGTTCCGTTGTACAGATGAACCATAATTTAACCAGTCCTCTCTTGGCCAGTGGGAGTAGTTCAAATCTTTTCAAACAGGGCAACAGAGTTGCAATAAAAAGAACTGTGGGCACACATACATGTTCAAGTGCATTTGTAGAATAAGTTCCCAAAAGTGGAACTCTTGGATCAAAAGGTGTATGAATTATTAGTTAAGGTCAATATCACCAAAGTGCCACTTAAGGAGTTTTACCCATTTACTCTTTTTAAGATGCATAAGAAGGTCCTGCAACGCTATTTTTAAACTGTTGAGATTTGAGAATCTGATAAATGAAAAATATCTAAATGTCATTTAATTTCTGTTTCTGTAGGTCACAGGTCAGCAAACGTTTTCTGTAAAGGGTCAGATAATAAATATTTTTGGTTTTGTGGGCCATACAGTCTCTGTTCTAACTACCGAACTCCTGTGCTGTTGGCCTAAAGCAGACATAGAGCATAGATGAATGGGCACAGCTGTGTGCTGACAACAAAACACACGGTGGTCAGGTTTGGCTTAGGAGCCATAGTGTGCCAAGTCCTGCTTTGGGTGAGCAGCTTTTCATACATTGAATGGCCATTTGTCTTTCTTTTCCTGTGAACTGTCCATAATCTTTTGTCCATTTTCTGTATTGGTTGTTGGTCTTTCTTCTTAATGCTCTTTCTAGGTGTTCTTTATATACTAGCCCCTTGTCTCTGTGGCATATTTCAAATATTTTTCATAATTTTGGCATTTGTCTTTTAGCTTTATTTACAGTAATTTTTCCCAATGCAGATGTACTGGGGGATCATTTTTTTCCTTTTTTTTCTTTTTAAAGATTTTATTTATTTATTTGAGAGAGAGAGAATGAGAGACAGCATCACAGGGAGGAGGGTCAGAGGGAGAAGCAGACTCCCTGCCGAGCAGGGAGCCCGATGCAGGACTCGATGCCGGGACTCCAGGATCATGACCTGAGCCGAAGGC